CCCCCCCCCCCCCAACACGCCCACATCGAGTGAACACCATACGCGCAGGCACGCACCAACGCACACCCACGGACGCTAAGAGCAAGCAAATACAACAAATACGACCTCAACCACAGCAATATATATATATATATCCCTCCCTCCCTCTCCCTCTCTCCCTCTCCCTCTCCCTCTCTCTTAGTCAGCGCAGTGAGTGTGGGGTGTGGATGAGACGACCTAGTCATCACAGCAGCAGCCAAACGGCTCAGAACCTCAGCAATATGAAAGGCAGGCCATAGCAAAGGAAGCTCTACCAGGAGCAATAGCAGCAAATTGGACGCAGGGGCCCCAGTGAGGTCCAATTGAAGCAAAGACAAGCAGAGAAGGAACAAAGACAGCAATCGTCGACGAGGGACAGGCAGCTTAGCTAGGCAGACAGGCGGCCAGACCCTATCATGGCTGGGGGGGGGAGGTGCCTGCGCAGGCACCCTACAGGGCCTACGATGTCGCCCACAGTGGGTGTGAGATGGCGTGGATGGCGGCGAGGGCCTCAGCGCCGCACGCACTCCACTGTGCATGGCACCGTGGACGCACTGGTTGCCCGCAATGCTGAACGAATCAACGACACACACACACACACCGACATAAAGAGCATGGACAAACAAAATGCATCTGCCGACCCACACCCCCCACCCACCTGGTGGCCTCTCCGGCGAAGAAGACAGCTGGCCTCGTGTCAACCCCCTCGTGGCTCTCGGGCTCCGGATGGGCGGTCGCCAGCTCTTCGATGTCGTCCGCGCTGCCTCCGGGCCGATGATAGCTGTACGAGCCGAGTGCGAACGGGTCAGTGTCCCAGTTCGTCACCTCGGCGTCCACCAGCCCACCACGGAGGTCGTCGATGTCCAGGCCATACATGCCGGCCAGCAGGGTGACCACCTTGCCCACCGTCTCTTCCTTCTGCAGATCATGCTGCCCGAAGAGGTGGGCCACCTGAACGATCAGACGGACACAGATACAATAGAGAGGTGGATGCGTGTGTGTGGTGTGTGCCCACCCATCCAGCATCCGTACCAGTGTGTTGGTGGCATTAGCCGGGTCGAAGGCGTGCAGGTTCATGAACTGCACAGATGGGTCGGTGCAGTTGATGAACTGCTCGGCTTCGTCCCAGAAGCACTCGTCAAACCGCAGCACCACCTTGTTGTGTCCGCCCCCGCCCAGCCGCTCGCACGCCTGCTGCTTGGCGGCGCTCAGTGGCGGTTCGAAGGCGATGCGGGAGCCCGTGTCGTTGCTGGCCTTGAGGACGCCAACCGGCACGGTGACGATGGCCTTCAGGGCGCTGTACACGTCCCCGTCGGCTGTGGTCACCTCCACGTGGCTGCTGCCGTCCCCATGGTGGACCACTCGAACCTCGTTGACAACGGCCGTGTGGACGATGTTGTCCTGGAGGGCGGCCGAATCGACGAGGAAGTCGGGGAGCCAGCTGTAGCCTCTCGTGCAGAGCCTGTCCCCCTCTGTTAGCTGCAACACACCCAACACAAACAGACGGACAAACACACAAGTGAAGTCTGTGTGTCAGGGATTGTGGCTGGCTGTGGATCAGGTGCCTGACCTGGTGGTCGATGTTGGCCCGTCTGAAGGGGTCGTATGCTCCCCTTGCAGCTCTCTTTGGCGCCCTCTTCCTCCTGTCCCTGCCCCTGCCGTGGCCCCCCTCCTTGCGCCTCTTTCTCTGGGGCTGCTGCACGCCCTCCTCACCCTCGTCCTCCTCACCCTCGTCCTCCTCTCCCCCGTCTGCCCCTCCCCGCCCGTCCCCGCCATCGTCTCTCTTGCGCTTCAGCTCTTGCGCCTCCTCAGGCGACACCTTGAACAGGTCGAGAGTGGTGTACGCGTTGGCCGCCGGCGCCAGCAGGCCAGGAGGGTCGTAGATCGACAGCTGAGGCGTGGCGACGGGCAGGAAACCCTTGCCGGCCTTATAGCGGCGCATGTAGTCGGCCTCGCCCGCCGCACGGTCCTTCAGCTGTCGATCAGTCGGCCGCGTGGGTTTCTTGTGAGCGGCGGGCTGCTGCTGGCTGGCCAGCGCCTCGAGAGAGGGCACGAGAGAGAGGTCGTCCAGCTGACAGTTGTAGCCGAACCCCCGCTGTGCGATCTTGACGGCCAGCCGGCGCAGCAGGTCGACCTCCTCATCGAGCTTGTCGGCCTGGTCAGCGGCCTCGGATGCCGCCTGTGCCGCCTGTGTGGCCCCCTTCCGGCGCTTCTTTTGAGGGGGTTCCTGGCACGCCTGGCGCTCCTCCTCTGCTGCACGGTCGAGGGCGATGGCAAACCAGCTGCCGAAGGAACTGTCGGCGGAGGGCGGGAAGTGGGGGAGGGGCAGGCCACCGATAGTGGGGGGCGCTGCCGCTGGATGGTCCTCCTTCTTCTTCATTGCCAGCATGAGGGCCGTGGTGCGCTCGTACAGACGGTGCGCACTGAAGGAAAAAAGCAAAAAAGGAGGAAACAGCGGGAGATGAGATCAGATGGAATTGAGTGAGAGTGATGTACGTCTGTGGTAGCCTACCGAACGACGAGGACCTGGTCGACCTTCTGGCCAGTCAGCTCGTCGTGGAAGACGGTCCACTGGGTCGGCTCCCACTTCCCTCCTGCAACCATCCATCCATCCATCCATGGCCTCTTCTGTAGGCACGTGTGTGTGTGTGTGTGTGTGTGTGTGTACGGTGCGGCGGGTACCTGGCACAGCGGATGTCTCCACGCCCAGCGCAGCGGCGATATCCCAGGGGTAGTGCGGGTCGCCCGGGGCTATGTGCATCCAATTGGCGGCGAGGTCGTACTGCATGGACGGCACACACACACGCATCATGTTGGTGTGGGCATGTGCCAATCAATGGGTGTGTGCGTACAGGTCTCACGTTGGTCTCTGGCAGGCCGCGTTTCCGCGCGAAGCTCTGCGTCTGTATCCTGCCGCCATTCCTGACCCATCCATCCACATCACACACAACAACACACATTTGACCAAACACGTCTGTCTATACACCTGCCCCCCCTCCCCCTCTCTCTGTTTCTGGCCCACCTCTCACGCGCCTCCAGGATGGTCACGTTGTAGCCTCGCTTCTTGAGTGCGGCCGCAGCTGCAAGCCCCGCCACCCCCGCCCCAACCACGACCACATGGGCCTTGACCTCACCATGCCCGTCGCCCGCCCCGGCCAGCGGCGGGACCACCGCACCCGACTCGTCGTAGGCCTTCATGAATTCCTTCATGTCATCCTGCTGACACGATACAGCCTCGGCTGACTGGCTGCCTGCCGTCCCTTGAGCACCCTGCCCGTGCGCTGCTGCCACTGGTGCTGCCGGTGCCGGGGCGGCAGCCGCTGCTGCTGCTGCTGCGGCTGCTGGGGCTGCTGCTGGTGCATCTCGTTTGGGCTCCCTTGGTGGTGCCTTGTTCTTCTGCCGAGGAGGTGCGTCGCCTTTGGGAGGGGAGCGGGGTCGCCTGCGTGACGGGCTGCGACGCTCCTGTCGTCTTCCTCGAGCCAAGCCCCGCCCGCGCCGCTGTGGCCTCTCGTCGACCTCCATTCGTTCGCTGTGCTGTTGCTGTGCGGGTGGCTTTCTGCAGTTCCGCTGCGGCTTGGTGGCTGCTATCCATCCGATCTGGTGCGCTGGATCCTCCCATCCCGACGCTGACCCGCCCTTCTCACGAGCCATGATGGCTCTGCTGACTGATAGAGCGTGGAACTGGTCGACGACGATGAGGCTCTCAGGGCCTCAGACACCTTCGACTTGCTACTTGGTCCACCGCCTCTTCTCCTCACAATTCAGAAGGTCAAACGCCTCAGCTGACGGCTCTTCAGGCGCACATTCCAGCAACAGCGATCCACATTCCCATGCTGACGGCTGATCGGGATGTCGCTGATTGTCGCAAAGCACCAGCCCCGCCTGTACGGACTCGTCAGGCAGGTACAGATCGGAGGGCCTCAGGCAACCTGGCGGGTCGAGGGTGAGCGAGGGGCTGTCAGTGCTGTGGGGTCTGTTCAATAGTGATCCATCGGTAGTCAAGTAGCTTGTGGCAGAAGTTCTCGTTCGTTCGTTCGTTCGTTCGTTCAATCGTTCGCTAACGGACACCGAAGTCCCGGCCCCTGGGGCAGATGCGCGATGCTGTGTCCATAAAAGCTCTCGCGCTCATGCTCTTTTTTCGCCGCAGATCGCGTTCGGCCAGTGGCTTGAGCTCGCAAGACCAGATCTGGTGCAGAGCCAGCATCGATGGAAGAATGCATTTGTTGCGATGCACCTGCACTCAGTCAAATCGATTGACTGACTACCGACGTGCACCCAGTCACTCACGCAGCTGTTTGTCTGTCTGTTAGGTACTCGATCAGGACACACAGACACACACATTTCAGACAGGCAGGCAAGCAGGCAGACAGGCCAGACGCGTCACAGATGACCGTCAGGTAAGCCCGATTGACCTACGCCGACACTGAATCACTATGTTATACAAGACTCGGAAAATTAAGATGCCTCACGAGAGAGAGGAGGCAGCCACTCACATGAGCGATAGGAGATGGAAAAGGGGAGTTACGAGAGACACACACACTGGCAGACAGACATAGACTTCACTCAGTCACTGCCCCGTGTGCAGCACTTCGACAGACAGACAGACAGCCAGACAGCCAGACAGACAACCTGACAGACAGACAGACAGACAGACAACCAGACACAGCTCTCTCCCTCCCTCACAGCCCCACCAAATGCAGCACCTCTATCTCATCCGCCATGAACTCATACGACCCACCCAAGGCAGCATCGCCATACTCCCACTCTCCCGTGTAGCCCGCAGGCAGATCGTCGCTGTCAGTCGACTGAGAGCAGCTGCGGATGTCGGCAGCAGGCCGGCCAGACACACTTCCACCCCAGCCCAGATCCAGCATCCCACCGATGTGCACATTCGCACCACCCGCATTTCCCTGCCTCCCCGCTACATGCACCCACTGACCTCGGCCGATGTCGATCTTGGTCGGTGTAGGAAAATGCCCGGCCAGTGAGAACCACCACACATCACAATCGTACTCATGGTCGCCAGTCGGCTCGTCAGGCAGCCGGAGGCCGGCACTGATGTAGACGCTGAAGATATACTCATCCTTCTTGATCACCAACACGAGAGGCTTTGCGTCGCCCACTGAGTCCAGCAGGTCATCGTAGGTGGTGCCGTGCTCAGACGTACTACACACACACACACACACACACACAGAGGGGGGGAGAGAGAGAGCGCGAGCCGTCTGGCAGCTGTTGGCATCACGGCATGAGATGTGTGTGTCTACCGGTAGAGTGAGATGAGGTCTGTGGTGTCATTGCCCAGCAGGCCGAGCAGCCCCTCATGTTCTGACGCAGGCAGCGACGCCTCGTCAGGCAGGGATCCCTGTACAGAAGCCTGGGAATAATCAGCGAGGGATGCACACCAAGCATCGATCGAGTGAACGGGCGGATGGCGTGTCTACATACCTCTTCCGTGTCAGCGGAGGCCATATCACTGCCCACCTGCAGCACCTCGATCTCGTCAGCCATGAATTTTTCTGACCCACCGAACACAGCACCTCCTTGGTACATCGTCTCTCCCGTGTAGCCCTCAGGCAAATCGTTGCCGTGAAGCCACTGAGAGCAGCTGCGAATGTCTGCGGCAGGCCGCTCATTGTCACCCCAGCCCAGATGCAGATCCCCACCGACAAACACTTTTGCACTCGCCCCCACATCCGCGTTTCTCCCCGCCACAAGCACCCACTGATTATTTACTTCATTAATCTGACCCCGTCCGGTGATGTCTATCTTGGTCGGCTGGGTGAAGTGGCCGGCCAGCGAGAAATACCACGTATCACAGTCGTATCTGTGCCAGTCGGTGGGGTCGTCGGGCAGCTGTATGCCGCAATTGATAAAGCCGCCGAACACATACTTGTCCTTGCGAATCACCAACACGAGAGGCTTCGCGTCGCCCACTTTGTCCAGCAGATCGAGATAGGAGGTGCCGTGCACAGACGTCCTACACAACACATACACACCAACACACACACAGACGGAATCGGCCCATTAGCTTTCTCTGTTGGCATGATGTGCGTGTCTACCGGTAGAGTGAGGTGAGCTGTGTAGTGCCGTTGCCAACCAGGCCGAGCAGCCCCTCATACTCTGACGAAGACAGCGACGTGCCGTTCGGCGGAGAGGCCTCCTGCACACGGCGCAAATGCACCTGAAACACACAAGTTGGCCCTGCACACTGAAGCATCAAATGATGGCCTCTGACAGTGTGTGTACCTGCTGTGAACAGGTCCACGCCCCACAAAGAATCATCAGCACCAAATTCCGCGTGACGGCCATCATCAGCACCCTCATCCTGGTAGTAGTGAGAGGGAAAGCGCGGGCACCTCGTTGCTTCATAGACCTCTGCGCTCAAAAGTCAAAGCCCAGCCACCTTCCCTCGTAGCTTCATCTTTATCTCGGGCAGCACCTTCGACCTGTGGACGCACGAGGAGATGAGTGCGGCCGAGGGATGTAGAGAGGAGGGCAGGCTCACAGACACAAGCACAGCGAACGGGTACGGCGGTCTGCGGAGCCAAGGGTGCTCTAAGGATGCTGGGCAAGGACTCGTGCAGCGCCTCGCACTCCTCCCCTGTCTTCAAATCTCGCCCGATCGCGTTCGGCCAGTGGTTTGGTCATGTTTAGCTCGCAAGGCAGATCTGATCTGCGCCTCGCTCTGCGTCAAAATGGCGATGAAGTACGTTGCTGCGTATCTGATGGCGGTGCTGGGCGGCAACGAGAGCCCGTCCGCGTCCGACATCGAGAACATCCTGTCGTCGGTGGCCATCGACGTCGACTCGGACATCCTGGAGAAGCTTCTCAGCGAGATGGAGGGCAAGTCACCTCACGAGGTCGGTGGGAGGGCAGGGGAAGCGAGGGGAGGAAAGATCTGCGTGAAACACGTCACTGGGGGTGTCGCTGTGTGGGCACACTTGTGTTTGTGCGACGGTGTGGTGTGTTCAATTCAGGTGATTGCTGATGGTCTGACGAAGCTCCAGTCTGTGCCCACTGGTGGCGGTGGCGGAGCTGCTGTCGCTGCTGGAGGAGCTGCACCTGCCGCAGGTAAGGACCAAACAACACACGCTCATCCAGGCGCTGACCGATCGGCGAACGACAACCTGATGCTCTCACCCTCTGTGTATTGCGTGTCTGTGTGTGTGCGCAGGTGGCGCAGCTGTCGCGGCGGAGGAGGCCAAGGAGGAAGAGAAGAAGGAGGTCAGACCAGCCACCACTCACCTCACACACACACACACACACACACACAGGCTGCCCTCATACTGTCTGTCTGTCTGTCTGTGGTGTGGTTGGCTGCACACAGGAGGAAGAGGAGGAGGACGAGGACATGGGCTTCTCACTCTTCGACTAAGTCAACATACCATGCAAGACCCCGCCTCTGCCTGCCTGCCTGCCTGCCTGCTTTCTCCCGTCGGTCCTTCTTTTCGACGCGTGCGTGTGCGTGGCTGATTTCAACCCAGCGTGATACATGGTGGTGGGTGGGTGGGTCCATGTGGCGTGGCATTGGACGGTCCGATGGGTCATGTGCGGAGGGAGGGACTCTACCGACAATTTGACTGAGTGACTGAGTGAATGAACAAATGCGTGCTGCCATGCCGTGTCACTGCGACGGTTTGAGCAAGTCCGCGTCACGTCTGGGCGTGGCATGCGTATCTACGATCTACTGTCTGTCGAGGCAGCGAGGAGAGGTACATACCGCTGCATGTCCTGTCCATCCCCCCTCTGTCTAGCCTACCCTACTCAGTGGCCGCCCGACATCCCTCACACCAGCCGTGGCGGGCACCTCCCTCTGACCTGCACACACGACCACACAACCACACAACCACAACACGTACGCCACACACATTGCCTTCACGTGTTGTGTTCTGTCGGTGTACCTTCTCTGTGTCGATGCACAGGTGCGGTGGATGGCGGTCCCGGCCCCAGCAGGTGCTCCATACTCGCCGCTACCCTCATCCGCGACACGTGCGCATCTGCCCCCCTGATCAGGGGCGGTGGAGGAGGCCCCCTCGCAGCACCGCTGCTGCTGCACAGCACCACCTGTCTGGCCCTCACTGCCTGCTTCTCGGCCATCGACACGACACGGGGCGAGATGAGTGCCGGCGGTAGAAATGGAGGAGCCGGGGTAGGGGGCACTGGAGTGCTTGTGGCGGTGGACTGCACGTGGACGGGCATCTGCTTTGTCATGGGTGGAGGTGGAGGTGGTGGCGGGTTGAGGCTGAGTCTCGGGACGACCATGGGACTTGCCCTCAGCCGCTCGGGTGGTGGGAGTGGGACGGGGCCGGCCAGGTTGAGCTGCAGGCGAAAGGGTACGCCTGGTGGACGCGGCGGCGGCTGATGGGCGAGGGGAGGGAAGGGAGAGGCCTGGCAGGCACATGAATGAGACAGACAGACACACACACAGACACGTGAAGAGAGAGTGACGTCCGGTGTTGTGCTGCCCCCTGTTCTCTGTCTCTGTCTGTGTGTACCCGAGTGCCTTCAGGTGGCTTTCCGGTGGGTGCCTGCGATGCGCTGCGATCCTTGAGCCTCTTGGGGAGGGTCTCTCTGTGCGGCGTCTCAGCGGCACACACCTGCCTCCAAGTCGGCACCACCCCCTCTTTGCGACCATCCCGCTGCAAAGCACCCACGCCCACATCTCCATCGCCCTTCCTTGCCCCATCCCCCCCACCACCACCACCAGCAGCAGCAGCAGGGGCCCTCCTTTCCCTCCTCACGCCAACGTCATCCCTCCTCATGGCGGCAGTGGGCCCGGTGTGCTTGGGCTGCCTCTTGGTGTGGTCATCTCGCATGTTGATGTGCTTGATGGGCGACTCGATGACTGGGGATAGCCCCTCGCGCCGCCTCAGCGATGAGCGGACAGGGGTCAGCTGCTCGTATGGGATGCGGGGGCTGATGACGGGGTCGCGCTGGGCCATCGATGCAGCGGTCGACAGATCCTCGCTGCGCCCTCCAATGCGCCCTCTACCGCCGTCACTCGCTCTCGTGTGCTGAGCGCCGAGCCTCGCCCCTGTCCTCTCTCTGGTATTGCCAACACCAGCACCACGATTCTGGCCACCCCCAGTCGGCAGCTGCAACAGCCCTGGTGTCGGGCCTTGTGTGGTGGTGGTCCTCTTCTTGACCTCAGGCTGTCTCTGAGGGCTCCTCAGCAGTGGGTTGGCCCGCCATGTGAGTCGAGATGGCTGCTTGATCTTGCGTTTGAGGGGCGAGGTGGTGGCGGGACCTGGTTGGGCATGGGAGAGACTCAGCTGGGGCGGGGGGCCGGGGGAGGACTCGTTGCACGAGAGGTATGTGGGGCGTGAAGGCTGGGAAGCGCGTGGGGTCGTCAAAGACGCCTCACGCAGCCACGGGCTTCGCAGGGCAGACTCCACTGCAAAGAGCGAGGGGATTGCAGGTTGTGCGGGGCGCGGGTGCTTTGGTTACTCGACTCACCATCGGGGCATCTGTGGTTGACGTCGAAAGCGAGGAGGGAGGTGATGAGGTCCACCGCAGCCGAGCTGCGGCTCGGCAGGCTCTCTCGCAGACGACGGCCATCCACACTCTGACAAGTGAAGGAGGGGGAGATGGATGAGGCCTGTCTGCGGGCGTTTGTGTATGGTCCTTTACCTACCTGTCTGATGGTGTGGAAGACCTTGTCGAGCGGCTTTGCAGACTTCACATCATAGGGTAAATGCATTGTTAGCATCACAAACCTGGCACGAAAGTACAAGCGGCATGTGATGGGTATTCTGAATGAAGGGATCTTCACGTCTAGTGGAAGGATGGCCTACAGGAGAATGCCGGTCGAGTAAAGCTCCGCCTGGATGCTGTAGTTGCCCTCAAACACCTCAGGGGCCTGCAGACACAGACAGACCAGCCACAAACCACACACACACACACACACACACATCAAAGACCAGACCAGCCAGCCTCCCCCTTCTCCCCCCATCCCACTCACCCACCATGTATGGCACGGTCCCCTGTGGAGTCACCCTGACGCTCCCCTTCTCGGCCAGCTGTCCGCCACCGTGGCGGCCCACGAGCAGCACGAAGTCATAGTCGAGGAGCACGGCGTCATTGGAGTCTGGCATGGTGCCGAGAGCACTCGAAACAGGCCTACGGAAGGTGATGTTGTCGGGCTTGATGTCGCGATGATATATCTGCCGACAGAATGGATTTAGAAACACGCACATGAGGGTAGATATGGGTCTTGTTGTGTGTAGGTGTGTGCGTGTGTGCTGACGCCAATGGTCTGCAGGTGGCGGACGGCTTTGAGGATGTCCCGGGCGACTTTCTGTGCCAGCCACTCGGGCGCGTCGCCTCTTTGATACGTCCACAGCAACTCAAACAGACCAGGGCCCTACCAACAGACCACCGCACACACTCTACTCCATTCACATCTGCCGATGCGTTCTGGTTTGTTTCCGCACCTCTAGTCGTTCCATGATGATGTAGAAGTAGTTCTGGTCCTCAACAACGTCATAGATGGTCACGAGATTTGGGTGCCTGGCCGCGGGGCTCTTCAGGATGCGATACACATCCCGGAAGTAGCTTTCCTCACAACATAGTCTGCACACAAAGATCCAATGCGCTGCCTCTGCCAGGGGCTCTGTGTGGTGCTGTGTGGCATGGAATGCGCATACCTTTGTGTCTGTTTCGGGATCTGCTTGACTGCCCATTGCCGGCCGCAGGTGTCGACGCATTCGAAGACGGATGCGATGCCTCCCCTGCCCAGCAGTTTACCCTTCCTGTACTCCCTCCAAAAGTCGGGAACGATGCGAAACCCTCCACGCTCCATTGAATATATTGAATATTTGCCAGATCCTGTGAGGATGTAAACACTCTTGCCTGGGCGCCCCAACGTCTGAATGCGAGCTCAACAACTTTTGAATTTCGCCATGCTTGAGAGCGGCAAGGCGCTTGCCAGACTGTGCCACGCTTGGGAGGGGCTGGTAATGGTGCAGAAGGGCGTTGTTGGCCATGCAGAGCATGGTCACCGCGACGCGCTCAAGGCTCTCGCGGACAAGCCGGTGGACGAGCAGGTGCACCATCTGCAGCACCTCAAGGCGGAGGCCAAAGAAGGCGCCGACAAGATGCGTGAGATGGCCAGAGAGGTGGCTGAGGAGGCCAAGGAGCGTGGAGGGACGCAGATCTTCGTCAAAACACTCCATGGTCAGGATGATCGGCACGCCCCGGCTGGGCTGCACACGTGATCGGATGTGTGTATGCATGTTTGCTGTCATTGTAGGCAAGACCGTCACCCTCGATGTTCAGCTGGACGACTCGGTGTTGGCCATCAAGCGCCAGCTGCAGGACAAGGAGGACATCCCTGTCGACTCGCAGCGCCTGATGTTCGGCGGCAGACAGCTGGAGGACAACCTGATGCTCATGTACTACAACATCAAGCTGGAATCCACCCTGCACCTGGTTCTGCGGTTGCGTGGTGGCATGTTCCACCCCACCAGTGGCCGTGAGGGCTTCGAGGCGAGCACTGACCCGTCGCCCGAGGACGAGTTGAAGGAGGAGCTGAAGGGGGCGGGTCTGGAGGGGGAGGCGTATGCGATGTCGCTGGTCGAGGCCTGGAGTGGCAAGGAGGACATGCTGGAGCTGGTCGGCGAGGTGGCGAAGGCATTCAACGAGATGACCGTGGTCACCAACGCGCTGCTCGTGGCACTCAAAGCCAAATAGATCCAAGACCACCTAAGTACAACACACAGGTGGGAAGCGACCGCATTGAAGAATAGACGGTACGTATGCTCGTGTGCGTGTGCCTGCGGGTGGGTGTATGTGTGTGTGTTTGTGGCGGCAGATATCGCTTTGACGACGGACATTGTCTGTAGCTGTAGCCATGATGGATATGGAGGAAGAATGGAGACACACACTCATGGTCCTGCGGAGCTGCATGTGGGAGTCGTCAAGTAACGTCGGAACGACAACTGTGCACGCACGGAGCACCGGTTCGACGTTACTTGATGACCGACACATGCAGCTGCCATGGATGGATGGATGAGCTGTTGTACAGAGACTTTGTTCGTTGCTCAAGCGCCGGCTTGCACTGCTTTGCTACTTCCGCACCTGCCTGTATCCCTCTCTCTCTCTCTGTCTGATCGGCTATGACCGTCTCTTTCTGCCTGTAACCACTGCATGACGTGACACCCTCGAGTGAAGGAAGGTGCCATTCAATCAAATCCAATCAGTAAGATCAAAGCACGTGTCCATTGTGCACATGACCAAAAAACCGGCAACACAGCAAGGGCACTTGTATATTGTATCGGCCACGCGTCACATGGACAGGAGAGAGATGGCTGGACCCACGCCACACCCACATAGACGAGGCAGCTTCCAGACAAGCGTGGAAGGAGTCTGGCCTATGCGAGTATGGCTGCAGTCTAGCCGTCCCGCTCCCGGCGTGACGCTTGGTACAACCAGTAGGGCAACCACACATACACATCTCTCTCTGACACCATTGAGAGATCCTCCCTCCCCCGTCATCGAGCAACCTTCCAAGAGCAATCAAGTCAGCAGGGGCATCAGAGGCAGCAGGACAGCACCACACCATCACACGCCATACTTCTTGGCCAGGTTGATGCTGGGAACGGTCCATTTGAGGGTCTTCTGCCGGGGGTCCTGCTCACTCAGCTTGTCGAAGTCAATCTTATCCACCATCCCCCTCTTCAGCTCCTGCCATGACGCATCGGTCGCCTTGATGTGCGCAATCCCTGCACACACAGACAGACAGACAGACAGACAAACAGACAGATGCAACCAACAGAGGCGGAGGGAGATGAGCGAAACACACTGTGGCGGTATATTATGTGCCTGGCCTGCTTGACAGTTGGCTCACTCACCCAGCTGTGAGAGGCATGACTGGAACGCCACTTCGCTGTCGGCCGCCTGCTCAGGCAAAATGCTGCCCGCCGTCACACTGCAAACACAACAAACCAACAGCGAAGGTAGCAGTGCAGCCATCGTCATTGCTCTCGTGCCGCCTTGTGTGTGACTGACCTTTTGAGTGTGTCTTCGTATTTGGCCTTGAGAGTGACGCACTGATCAAAGTCGAGCGTGGCGGGTGCAGGTGCCTCCTTGGCCTCCGTGGTGGGGTCATACTGGGCGAACGGCAGCTTCTCCTTCAGGAAGATCTCCTGCACTGGAGATGCCGGATACCGCTGCACACGAGGCATGACGAAGACTACAACAGGCTTCTTCACAGGCTCTGTCGGTCTTCCCTTTCTGTCTTCGCAGCCAAGCTCGCAGCGCGCCCATGAGATCTTCGCGGTTTGGGCCTGTTAATGAGTCCAGCCGCTTCCCTTAGCACCGTGGCATCGCTCTCCCTCGCCATCTGCCAATTCATTGCATTCCCGGCTCACGCCTTCCTGCTGCGGTCTTCCACTCATCGCAGGCAGCACAGGACAGCTGCTGGAGGGCTCATCATGTCGTCTGCAGCCAATGGGCAGACGCCCTGGCGCCCGCCACTCATTGTCGGCTCGAAAAGCAAAACCAGGAGGTACCACACATACAACGATTGACTGGATAGTATGGTGGATGGATGGATGCGCTGCTCATGGGATGGATGTGCTCCATGTGTGCAGGCAGATCTTGACTGAGATGGGATTTGATCTGCATCTTGAGTCGGCTGACATTGATGAGAAGCAGGTGGGTGACCGCGCCAGCTGTCCCTCAGAGCTGGTGCTGGAGGTGGCCAAGGCCAAGGCACAGGCGCTGCTGGACAAGCTGGCCAACACAGAATCGCCATACAGGATACTCCTCACAGGTCAGTCAGACCACACGCAGAGAGAGCGACCAGCATGTGTGCCAGGATGTCCGCACTGTTTGTGTGTGCAGGTGACCAGGTCGTTGTGTGGAAGGGCCGAATTCGCGAGAAGCCTCACGACGGCGCCGAGGCGAGGGAGTTCATCGAGGGCTACGGCCGGTCGCCCTGCCAGACAGTCGGCTCATGTGTCCTCACCGATCTCCACACACGCACTCAGGTGAGCAGATGGAATGGTGCGCCGCCTTACCGTGTTACCTACTGTGTGTTGCGTGTGTGCGCATGTGTGCGTGCAGGTGAGTGGTGTGGACACGGCGACCATCCACATCAAGCCCATCCCTGACGACATCATCCAGAAGCTCATCGACGAGGGAGATATCCTGCACTGTGCTGGTGCGTGGGGGGCAACTTCTAACACCAATTGATTGGTTCATGCAGCCCTGCGTTGTGTGTCCGTGTGTCCGTCTTTCCGTGTGTCCGTGTGTCCGTGTGTGTGTGTGTGTGTGTGCGCTTCTTGTGTGTATGTGTGTTTAGGTGGTCTGATGATTGAGCACCCATTGGTTGAGCCGTACATCGAGCGGATCGACGGTGCGTTTGACTCGGTGCTGGGGCTGTCCAAGGCCCTCGTCGACTCACTGCTCATCGACCTCAGGCAGAAGATCGACACCCATGCGTCATCAGCATGATGTGACCACTACCTATCTCTCTCTCTTTCTGCCTAATTGTCTACTCTATTCCATTCCCCTTCTCCTCTCCCCCCGTCCTCTCTTCGCCCGCCGCAAAGGTTTTTGGCATCTCGCGTGCCTTTTTCCGGTTGAGCACTCGGATGCATGGCGGAGGCAGGATGCGCTTGCCCTTTGAGAACTCCCTGTCAGTGACGTCCCTGCCTATGCTGTAGTGGTAGTGGTCCTGCAGGGGAGCGGCCGAGGAGCCGCCATACTCAGTCAGATGCATCCTTGCCTCCCCCTGAAGAGCCAACTTGCCTGATGAGAGACACCGAGGCACAAAGACATACATAGGTGTTGGTAAACGACATGATGTCATGATGTGTGGGTGCACTGCAATTGGTCATATGCGCGTGCATACCTCCCTGCTTGAGAATGCCCCTGTCGCCGCCTTTTCTGAGCCCCGCTGGCTCCCGCGGTGTCATGCCTTCCACGAGAAGGTCATGGTCGCTGGGCTCGCCAATATTCCTCCCCCTCCCGACAAGAGGCGGCCCGCCATCCCGCGTGTGGTTGAAGGGAGACGCCTGACAGTCAGACAGATGGAGGAGTACACACAGAACGATCATGTATACAGCTGGTTGTATACCTACCAGAAGGATGAGCTCGCCCCACGACTCAGGGGGCATTGTGGGACGGCACTCACGGCCTGATGGTGTGGCCTTCCACGCTTGGGATTCTCTGGCCGGCAATCGACGGGCAAACTGCGACCTGTACGCCATCTCCCGCTGCCTTGGCGAGAAGAACGAGTCATACGTGCGACGGAAGAGCTCTTCGTCTGATGAAGCCGCCAGCTCACTGAACACAGAACAAACACACCAGCAGTCAACAGACAGAACTCACCATCCATCATTGCGGTTGTGTGTACCGTGCTGATGCGGGGGAGGATGCCCGCTGCCGCCTCCGCCACTCGAGGGAGCGCTCAGTGGCTGGCCCCGCTTGCATGACAGCAGGGAGAGGGGGGGGCTCTGTGAGCGTCTGCTGGATGTATTCCTGCAAGGGATTGAGGACACTCCTGTTCCAGTCCTCCGTCAGGGACACTCTGTCCACACAGAATGCACTCGTCATTGTCTGTCCGTCTCATGTGACCGACTGGCTGACCGTTTCTTGTGGATGTGCTCCCGGTGCAGCCGCAGCAACCTCCCCACCTCCACCGTGGCCGGTGTCCTCCGGCTGAGTGCCTTCATGCTCTCCTCAAAAGCCCGCGCCTCCCTCTGCTTTCGCCTGTCGATGTCGCTCAGAATCTTCTGGTGGTCGGTCTCACGCAATTCCTCTATTTTGCGCAAGGTCTCCATCTTACGCAGCTTGTGGGCGGCGTCACGGGACTCCCTCGACACTCCGGTGCCCTGCGATGGGGGCCTGGCTGAAAACGGTGTTTGATCCGGCTGATGTTGTGGGACTTCGTGGACCTCGTCGCGATGTGTGGGGGACGCTGTGGCCGTGTGGGGCATGCCGGAGGCAGCACTATTGGACAGACAGAGAGACGGAAAGAACAGACAGAGATCGGGAGAGAGAGATAGCAGTGTGACGGGTGAGTGAAGAGAAATAAATGTGGATCATGTCATGGGGCTGTCTATGTGTGAGTGGGAGCGACACCTTGTGTGTCTCACCTGCGAGGGCTGGCAGCGGGTGATGCGGTCTTCCTGGACGAGCGCGTGGTGCTAGCCTCGTGCCGTGACATCTCCCGGTGCCAGTCCTTGCTGTACACCGTCACCACATCCCTGTGGGTGTCCTCATCCGTATCGCCAGTGAGGCGGCTGAAGACGTCCACTTTGCGGCGGGGTCGCCTGGGGCTGACGATGGCATCGTCATGGCTCTGGTCGGGCGGCATCCTTAATTGGGTCGCTGCAGCTGAGATGCGAGCCGCTTTGGGCCGCTCTGCACTGCGGGAAGGCTGAAGTTGGGGTGAGGAAAGCAGAGAGGACGAAGCCAACGACGAACCAAAAACTCAAGGGGTGCAATGTAGACTGCCCAGACTGCAGCACAACGCTCTCAATTCGCCCTTTTCATCTTGTAGTTTGGGTCGTTTCTCAGCTCGCATGTTTAAAGGTGTTGCTTGGAGAAGGAGGCTTTTGAAGTGGTGCCAGCGACGCTGCCTCGTGCTATAGGAAGCACAGATCTTGAGAAGATTCATCGTCGACAGCCAATGAGGAAGCACCTGACGGGATCTGTGATTCATCAGGTCAGCTAAGTCCTGCTGATCTGGTCTGATCTTTTTCGACGCCTATCTGTGGTCTGGAAATGAAGATCCCGACATCTCTTTTTCGGCTCGTGCAAGCCTGGGGACTCATCGTCGCAGCAAGCGGCTTCTCCATCCCGGCACTGCTATCGTCACGCTCCTCTCACAAGACGCAGCATGCATTCGCACCGGCCACCCGAATGCACGGGGGCACCACAACGACGCTCGAGCGCACAGCGGCTTCCATCACTTTACCCCTCTCGCTGCCATTCCCCCACGCGCAGAAGGTCGAAGACGTCTTCCGTCTGCTGAGGACAGACCGCGCTGCCGGGCTGAGCGGAGAGGAGGCCACAAGGAGGCTGGAGCAGTTCGGCCCTAACAGACTGGCAGAGGGGCCCCCGCCCTCATTATGGAAGCTGATTGCCCAGCAGTTTGACGACCTTTTGGTCAAGATCCTGCTGGCCGCGGCGTTCGTGAGCTTCCTGCCTGTGCTTGTGGGTAGCGAGGGGCTGGGATCGGGGGGACTGATTGGCGAGGTCGGCAGGTGGCTGAGCGGTGGCGGGTTTCAGCTGGCGGTGGATGTGAGCGATGTGGTGGAGCCTCTGGTGATATTGCTTATACTCATTCTCAATGCGACTGTCGGGGTGGTGCAGGAGCTGAGCGCACTGCAGGCCGTTCAGGTGAGCGGTCTCTTCCACCCTCTCTCGGTGTGTACATGTGTATTTGTGTGTGTGTGTGTGTGTGTGTGTGTGTGAAGGGTTTGCGAGCGATGCAGCCCAACACCGCCGAGTGCCTACGCGACGGGCGGTGGTCGACCCTCCCGGCCGCCCAGCTGGTGCCCGGCGATGTCGTCAAGATGCAGACGGGCGACGTCGTGCCTGCTGACATTCGCATCACAGAGCTGAGGACCACCACACTCAGGTAAACCCATTTTGCCCAGCCACAGAGAGAGGGAGAGAGAGGGACAACGTCTTTCAGAGCCGAGCAATCGCAGCTGACGGGCGAGTCTCAGAGCGTCTTCAAGATGCCCCAGTGGGGCGGGGCGGGAGGCGCCAACCGCGACATGGTCTACGGCGACGGCGGCAACGGCGCAGCAGACACTGTCCCCTCTATGAGTGAGGTGGAGCTGCAGCTCAAGAACACCATGGTGTTCGCCTCCACGACTGTGAGCCAGGGGGCGGGTGTGGGTGTGGTGGTGGGGACGGGCATGGACACCGAGATCGGCAAGATACAGCAGGCCGTGGACGCCGCCAGCCAGGAGGAGGAGGACACGCCGCTGCAGAAGACGCTGGATGAGTTCGGTGGGCAGCTGTCCAAGATTATCGGGGGCATCTGCCTGCTCGTGTGGACCCTCAACATCCGGAACTTCAGCGACCCTGCATTCGGTACGCACAGACAGTACACACAGACCGACGGAACGCACCAGTGGCCTCACACACACACACACAGATTCGTCCATCGCTCTCTCTGTATGCCTGTGTGTGTGTGTGTGGCGTGCAGGGTCTATCTGGCTGGGCGCGCTGTATTACTTCAAAGTGGCTGTGGCGTTGGCCGTTGCGGCCATCCCTGAAGGGCTGCCAGCCGTCATCACAACGGCACTTGCCCTCGGTATCTAAGACACCTCCGACACGACAATGCGTAGAATCCCTGTGTGTGGTGTGTATGTGTATGCGTGTGTCAATGAATGCGTTTGCAAGACAGGCACCCGCCGCATGGCTGAGAGGAAGGCGCTCATCCGGAAGCTCCCCTGCGTCGAGACCCTCGGCTGCACCAACGTCATCTGCTCAGACAAGACAGGCACCCTCACCACCAACGAAATGTCCGCCACCTCATTCGTCCTCCCCGGCCAGCCACCACACACCCAGTCCCCCACACCCCCACTGCGTGAGTTCTCTGTCGAAGGCACCACCTACACGCCAATCGGCCGCATACGCCCCTCTCTGACCCCTGTTGACGGCTACGATCGGTGTCTGGAGGCCTTCTGTGAGGTGGCGAGCCTCTGCAACGAGGCCACCCTGGCTGTGGAGGGGCAGCGTGTGGTGCGCAAGGGCGAGCCCACCGAGGCGGCATTGCGTGTGCTGGTGGAGAAGATCGGCTGTGACGATGAGGGGCTGAACCAGCGGCATCTGCAGAAGGTATGTGAATGTGGGTGTGGGTGTGGGTGGCTGCAGACATTTGGGGTATGTCTGTCTGGCGTTCGTTGTGTGTGTCAGGCTCGGACAGGTGACGATGTGTCGGTGTTCAATGACTACTGGGAGTCGCAGTTCGAGAGGAGAGCGCTGCTGGAGTTCTCCCGCGACCGCAAGTCGATGAGCGTCCTCTGCAGCCCCAAGAGACATCCCACGCGCAACACGCTGTACCTACCGACAAACACATCATGCACTCACCCACCAGCCCACGCCCCTCCCCGTGTGTGTATGGTGTCGTCGCTCGTTGGTGCAGGTACGTCAAAGGTGCCCCCGAGTCCATTCTCGACCGCTGCAGCGAGGTCCTGCTGCCCGACGGCACACGAGTGCCCATGACACCCACAGAGAGGGCCGACATTGCCAGCAGGATCACACAGCTCGCCTCCAGGGGCCTCAGGTGAGCCCATCCCTCAAACCACACCCACCCGATAGACCATAGGATGTGCGTGTGCGTCAATCAGGACACTGGCTTTCGCGATTGGCGATGCGGAGAGGGGCGGGGGTGTCGGTGCGTCTTTGCTTGCGGGTTATGACGGCCCGTCGCACCCGTCACACCAGCTGCTGCTCGACCAGAGCCAATACGCAAGGATAGAGCAGAACCTCACTTTCGTCGGTGAGGCGTTCATCACGGCGCAGTGTGTGTGTGTATGTGTGTGTGTGTGTGCAGGTCTCGTCGGGCTGATGGACCCGCCTCGGCCAGAAGTGCCGCAAGCAATCGAAGAGTGCGCACGCACACACACACACACACACACATGCACATGCACATGCACACACACATCGACGGATGCCCCCTTTCTCCTTTCCTTTATCGATCAGGTGTCGCAACGCGGGCATCAAGGTGGTCATGATAACGGGCGACAACCCCAAGACCGCAGAGGCCATCGCACGACAGACCAACATTCTCGACAAGGAGCCAGAGCCCACACACGCCACCAAACACACACACGATGCCACCCAGGATGCAGCACACGCGGAGGCCCTCACCGGCAGGCAGTTTGAGAGCCTTACAGAGCACCAACAGATACAGTTAGTGAGGCAGAAACACAGGGGGAGAGAGAGAGAGAGAGAGGCAGTGGCCATCCATGTGTGTCTGCAGGCTGTTATCTCGGCTATCGGATGAGCACCACCCGGCTGACGAGAATGCGACGTCCTTCGGTCTGGTGTTCTCGCGGACCGAGCCGCGACACAAGCAGCAGATTGTGAAGATACTCAAGCGCCTGGACTGCGTCGTCGCCATGACAGGGGTAGCCATACATACACATCCCTCCACACACCCCCGACACACACAGACGGATGCATCTCTCTCTCTCTCTCTGTGTGTGTGTGTGTGTGTGTGGCAGGATGGTGTCAACGATGCCCCCGCCCTGAAGGAGGCCGACATCGGTGTGGCCATGGGGGTCACAGGCACCGAGGTCGACAGAAAGAAAGGCACACAGAGAGATCCAATGCGTTCGTTCGGGCAGAGTATGTGCATCTGTCTGTCTGTCTGCAGGTAGCGAAGGAGTCGAGCGACATGGTGTTGGCGGAGGAGACCTTCTCCACCATCGTGGCGGCCGTCGAGGAGGGAAGGGCCATCTACAATAACATGCGGGTCGGTCGGTGAATGGATGGACAAAGGAGGGCTCACTCTATCGGTCATTCTGAGCGTGTGTGTGTGTGGAGGGTGTGTGTGTGTCAGGGGTTCATCCGGTATCTGATATCAAGCAATTTCGGTGAGGTGGCGTCCATTTTTCTCACGGCCATCATCGGGCTGCCGGGCTTCCTGGCGCCCGTCCAGCTCCTGTGGGTCAACCTCGTCACCGACGGCCTCCCAGCCACCGCACTCAGGTCGGTCAGTCGGTCGACCCGCACACACACAAGTGTAGCAGCGTGTGTGTTGTTTCCACTCGGTGCGGTCAGCTTCAACCCTGCTGATGGCAGCGTCATGAGCCAGCCGCCGAGGAAGAGCTCAGACCCACTCGTCACCAGGTCGGTGAACGACTGCATCAGCCACACACACTCACAGCCATCCACCGTGTTTCCTGCTTGCTGTGTCTGTCGTGTGTCACAGGTCTGTGTTCATCCGGTATCTGATCGTGGGGACCTACGTGGGATTGGCGACGGTCGGTGTGTTCATGTGGTGGTACCTATTCGACAAGGGCGGCGGACACCCAACAGTCACACTCGAACAGGCACACACCGCACCCACAA